CCCCCCCAGCACCCACGTTCTCCATCACCCCCCCAGCACCCACCTCCCACTGCCCAGGCCCCCATCCCACATCGCTCCTTCCCAGCTCCTCTCCATCTCCCGAGTCCCACCCTGACCCCCCAGGACCCCTCCCCTCCAGACCCCGAGCCTCATCCTGCCATCCAGGACCCCCCATCCTGACCCCCCGGCACCCACCTCCTCCATCACCCGGGCTCTCAGCACCTCCCCGAGATCCAACTTCATCCTGGGGGGCAGGAGACCCCGTGAGCTGGGGGGGTTTGGGGGCAGCAGCCCCCCCCCATCACCAGGCTGGGGGTCCGGCCCCCCCGCACCTGCCCAGGAGATCGTCCTGGTCGGGGTCCTTGTCGAACAGCTCCACCTCCACCTCCTGCCCCGGCACCTCGTGCACGATGAACTGGGGGACAGGGTCAGCTGGGGGGGACACACGGGGGTGCCCCCGCCCGGCAGGGCCAGGCTGGGACATCCCGGGGGTCCTCCTGCCCAGCCCGGTGGGATTGGGGTGTTCCTGTCCCCACAGCCCAGCCGGGGACACTCAGAGGGGTCCCTGTGCCCCCCACAACCAGGTCAGGGGGGACACGGGGGTCTCTGTGGCCCAGCTGCTCTGGGGGGGCCATGAGGAGGGTCCGGGGGTCCCCGGGGGGGTCTCACCTCGTAGACCTCGTCCCAGGTGGGGTTGAGGTTGTCGTCGATGACGCGGCTGGTGCAGACCTGGGTGCCCACGCGCAGGACGGCGTAGGGGTCCGACTTGCCCTCCACCAGCCCCCCCATGAACCGGTCCTTGCAGCGCAGGTCCCGCGCGCCCTGGAGGTGCACCCGCACCACCCCCTGCACGGGGGGTCAGCCGGGGGGGGCAGGACCCCCGGGTGTCCCCCCGACCCCCTGGGCAGCCCTTACCCGGGGCAGGGGGCAGCGGAGCTGGGCGGCCTCGTGCAGGTCGGGCACCAGCGGCACCAGGAGGCGGTTGGGCAGCACCAGGTAGGAGGAGATGGTGTCCATGATCATCGTGTCCGACATGGAGCTGGAGGGGGCACGGTCACGGGGGGGCTGTGGGGGGCTGGGCCCGGGGGGCTGGGAAGCCCCCGCGGTGGGGCCGGGGGCTCACCTGAGCCCTGGGATGTCCAGCAGGTTGGTCATCCCTGTCCAGTTGATGTCCAAGGTCTGCGGGGTGGGTTGGGGTCAGGTGAGGGGTCTGTGGACCCCCGCCCTGTCCTGCAGGGGGGTTTTGGGGCTGCCGGTCCTTTGGGGCGGACACGGCCACACTCACCGGGCGCCGGATGAAGAACATGGTGAGGGCCCCCACGATGGGCACGTCCCCCAGGAGGGGCTCCAGGATGATCCGCAGCATCCCGTGGAGCTGGGGGGGGGCAGCGCTGAGAGGTGACACCCCCAGGGCCGTGACCCCCTCCCAGCAGCCCCCCAGGGCCCCCCTCACCTGCATCCCCTTCACCCCTGCCTTGCAGAAGAACTTCTTCACCTCCACGTCGATCTGGACGTCACCCACGTAACTGTGGGGACAGGACATGGGGGCCTCACCATGACACCCCCCAGACCCCCAGCAAGGGGGCTGAGACCTGGCACTTTCACCACACAGGTGGCTCCGACCACTCACCTGATGTTGAGGT